CCCCACCCCACCCCACCCCAGACTGGCTGAGCTCAAATACGGAGGCACTCTCGAGCGAGTCCGGGGGACAACAGGCTCATTTAGGGCATCGGTTGCCCCCCCCCCCGACAAAACCCCAACTGGTCGAGATTTTTCGGACAGGAAAATGTTTCATGGGCGGGTATGAAAGCAATGCTTTGCCCCAGGACGACACTGAGGGCGCGGAAAGGGAGTGGGACCCCACAAAGGGCACTGTGTGTGCCGGGCACATGGGATCAGCCACGCCGCCGGCCTGCGTGGCCCCACCAGCGGCGCGTGCTGCCATGTGCACTAATGAGACAGTCTTTCATGGCGGGTAGAAGGGGGCAGAAAGGGGGTCTGGGCTTCACCCCCCACCCATCTATGCAGCAGCCACCTGTTGACACAGTCATTCCTGTCCGGTTTGGACAGGCCTCTTAAGGATTTGCGTTGTTAAATGGCAAAATACCATCATGGTAAAAAGTCCTCTCTATTTACAGCCAGGCCGACGCAGGGGGCAGAGGGTTTCCGATATAAAGATTAGTGCAAAGGGTGGGCAGTCGCACAGATGGCTGTAACCTATAGCTGGGATGGGGCGTGTCTGACGGACAGGCTCAGCAACCAATTATGGGAAGGCCTGGCTTTCCGATCCCAGTACCTCTTCCCAGTGCTTTCCATTAGCTGTGAGCAGTCCCAGGCCCCCTCCAACCCCAGTCTGACCTCTGAACTCTGACCTCTGAGTGGCCAAGGGGCCACAGCGGGCTCCCAGATCATCAGCACCTCCCAAACAGTGGTGGGATGAGGTTCTCCCACACTGCCAGTTTGGGGTGGGGGGGCATCACATGAGACACCCCCCTGCGCTCCTGTACATGTCCCCTCTATGCCTCCATGTCACAAAGTGGCTGATTGTGTCCTAAGAGGTTTATTTGTTCTTTGGCAAAACACTTCAGTCCCTATTTTCCCAGAAATCACAGCTTCTGAAGCCGATTTTTCTGGTCACGCTCCTGAAAAGAGCTTAACTTCCTCCAGCACCAAGCCACGCCCACACTCCCCCAATCCCCCTGCAGCGCCTGGCCTTTGTCAGCCCTCACCCTCGTCAGTGTGACCTCAACATTTCTTACCCCTTCATCTGGACGGGAGAAAAGTGTCACGGCATGCACACGCATCTCCTCTGGCAACCGCACGCAAGGCTGCCTACGTGCTCGGGGACACACGCTGGGCATGTACTCCCATCGAGCCCCCCCGCCGCCACCACACCCACCCCCCCAGGGCTTTGTCTCCACCAGGATTCTTCTGTTACACGCCAGGCAGGGTAAGGAATCGCACACAATAGCCAGCCGCCGCTGGGACAGGGCCGCTGGATTTAATGAACCTGTCAGTGAAGTCTTTTTGGTCTCCCGCGGAGGGGCGGGGCTGTCCAAGTATGCCAGGGTGAAGAGATTAACTTTCATTACATCAGCATTTCGGGGAAAAGTTAATGAGGGTAGGGGTGGGGGGGGGTGTCAGGTGGTGACATGGGTTGTGACATCACTAAGTAAACAGCCCATCCCACGTGTACTGATTCAGTTCCCCCAACCCCCGCCACTATTGCTGGAAGGAAATGCATACCGCCCCACCCTGCCCCCCTTCGGCAGTCCTGGCAGCGTGTCACACAAGGGATCTGTCCGGAATCGAGCAGCGGGACGTCGGGACAATCCGCCGTTTGTGGTCTCGCAGCCTGATTTTCACGCAAGGTCCATTTTATCTCTCCTTTTATTTGAGGACGGGGGGAGTGACGTACTGGTGGGAATTTTGGGGGAGGCCATTCATGGGGGTGCCCCCCCCAGGCAACTGACTTTTACGGTCGAGTACAACCAATCAAGAGGACCAGACCTGCAAGCAGCTGTCAGGCAGAGCCAGGATGTACAAACTCAAAGCGGCATCTTTGTCTCTAGTGGAAGTTTCATTGCTAATACAATAGGTCGGTGCAGTTAGTACTTTTCCTAATTTTCATCTTAACAATACATATCATTTCAGGTACTTATTTATAAGCCTGGATGACAGTGCACAATATTAAACACTTTTTTGGCAGATATTTAAATATAATCTATGTGCCTAAGTCCATACTACTGTCTTCAACTATCTTCAGCTGCAACTCAAGTTAATGTGCAAATATCAAGAGAATGATTACTGCCCACATTGAAAATCCTGAGAAACCCTATCGAAATCTTTCAACTGGTGTCAGACAACTCCGAGATCCTGTTGAAACAACTTGGTAAAGTTTGGTAGTGGACAAGTTGTTTAAAATCTGGTTCAGAGAACATTCCAGAAGGCAATGGCCCCCTGGCATTACGACCCATAATCCATGGTGGAGTGAAAAGGAAGGAACCGCGTCATGGAACCAATCCCTCTGGAGCTGGTGACTAGAGATGGTGTAGGAACAGAACAGTGTTTTGGGATCAATACACAATGTGTGCCAATGTCAGGCCATTCCCATGGAGGTGGGCGGGGCCATGTAAATATCCCGATTATATGATTATTATATACCACAAATGAATGTGACCAGATGAGAACGTCTGAGAACTTTGAAACAAAGAGCGAGCACTAACACACAAAAAAACCCCTTAGTGTCCATTTTGAAAAGACACAGCAATGGCACAGACTGCTTCCTGGATCCTCTCCCTTAATGTATGCCCTCTGAAATAAACCAAGCATGTCACTGAAATAAAGGTCTAAAGGACCTGAATAGAATTCTGAGAGAGGTCTGCTTTTAATTCACCGTTTCCCAGCAGGATGCACCGAGGACTGTAGAAATGTATAGAGGAGCAGTGCATTGTGGGTGACTATTCAAGCAGGAAGACAGAACAGGAACTGTTGTCGGAACACAGCCAATGGAGTTCAAGCAGACCTCCTTGGGTCATTAGAAGCCATCTTTCCTCGACATAAAGATCTGTAAAGCGTACAGCTTTGGTCACCATACCTCCAGAAGGACATGCCTATGTTTTAAAGTATTCCAGGTTTTTCTGGATGGATAGTTGAGAAAGATAACTCTTTAATCCCAATT